AGCGTGCGGGACCGCCTCGTCAATGACGTCATTGCACAGATTAAAAACTGGCAGAAGGATACCTATCATAAGGTAAGTTGTAGTCGCAAGGAATGCTGTTCTGTAATAATTACGCTGCACTTGGTGCAATTAGGCAGGTGTGGCGTCGTGCGCGACCGCGGCATTATACAGGGTTATTTTGCAAATTCACAATAACCGGCCAAATTTGCAGTGAAGGTTCAGAATAAGTAATATAGGCGATTGGTGAAGAAAAATTAATTAAAAATATCTCAAACATTCTGTCCTTTATATCTTGTAAGTTCAAAATGCGTGGTAATGCATTATATTAACTGATTTTACTGCGCACGCACACATTAGTAAGGGTCGATCGGTAGGCAAAAACGTTGTTGTCCATAAATCAAATACGAGTAAAAAAGGTAGAGGCCTTATTTACTCGTATTTTCAAAAACTGCAATAACGGTATATCATTATTTATATATTCGAACTTAAGTTTAATATTTGGCTACTCTTTGAAAAATAACCCTATATAGAAAACATTGTGAAGAAACCATATAAACGAGTTGAATATAAATTCAAGAAAAACAACTTCCTTCTGCGTGAATCCCATATCTCTGGTGCCCTTTGACCTACAGGGCCCAAAAAAAAAACTCGACCGAGCTACTACCTCAAGGTATCCACATACTAAATTTAAAGTCAATCGGTCCAGTGGAACGGAAGTTATCGTGTCGGCATACAGACTAACAGACTGCCAGCTAAAACCATTAACTTCCTTTCAATGCTACGCAGAAGGAAGTTAATAAGGGGAGGCCAGATTTAAAAGATCAGAAATATTTTGTAGGTGATCCATTCCATTCCACAAGAATATGGCAATATAAGTGGTGGTAACGTAAGAAATTTTATTACTGTTCCTAAGCTAAAGATTGCACCAAAATATTGACAGAGTGAAAGAGAAGACCGAGCAAGGAACTTGCTTGCATAGTAAAACAGCGTAAAATTATAATCATCATCATCATTATCATCATTGCAGCTCATCACGAGTCAATTACTGACATAGGTCTCTCCCAAAGAACGTCACAATGCACGGTCTTGAGCCATTTATATACGGCGGCATATCTGCCAGCACGGCTAGCATTGGGACAAATAAACATTCCCCCGATTATGTCCACTGACAAGAGACAAAATTATTTTGTCCTTATGCCATAGCACGGCAACGGGGAGAAGTATATCCCCGTTTGACATAACGAGTAGACATATACCCCCCGTCCGTAGCATGGAGCCAAATGAAATATAAAAATTTGTGCTGTGTTGACATTTGAAAAGGACAATTTTATCCTAGTTCATTGGACGTGGGTTTTAGTTAATATTCATATAAAAACCTGTCAAGTCCAAGTCTATCTCCCATTTTATCTACTGTGGATATTATATCCACCGGTATGCCCATGTTCGAAGGGTGGATAAAACTAAGTGAGGTTATAAACATTTTCTCCTTTCCCCGGGGATAAATTGACTGCTGCCCATGCTAGCCCTGCTGGTCGTTACTCTATCTAGTAGAGAGCACCCTTACACTTCGCTTACTGGTATGAGACTGCCTGCACTCGAGAACCTTTCTTCTTCAGCGTAAAATAGTACAGCTGCCATATTTCGTAAAATCGTAAGCTCTTTTTACTGTTAACGCATCTGCTGATAATTTTTAATCAAATATTTTTATAAGTCGTCTATTGGCCACAATATTCAATTACCATCAGTTGGATTGTATGCTCGCTTATCACCATTAATTATATATAAATATATTATTTACAAATCTTTAATACAAACATCTATTTGTTATAAATTTCTAATTAGTACTAGTAGGTATTACGGACTAGTTCTATTAGTATTACGGATTTCTGTCCCCCCAAATCTAGTTCTTCGATTTTGTGAATTATCAATCACTGACGGCTCCGTGGCGCAGTGGCTTAGCAATCAGTTGCTGCGCTGGGGGCCGCGGGTTCGAATCCCGCACGGAACAAGTATTTGTATGGCCTGCAAATAATTGTTCCGGGTCTGGATGTTTGTCCTTGTGCAATTTATGTTTGTAAACTGCCTCCACGACACAGGAGAAAATCCTAGTGTGGGGGTAACGTAATTAAAAAAAAAAATAAAAAAAAATAAAAAAATTAGTCATTACGTATTACCATGTAACGTGTTTGTGCCATGAAAAATCTTGGAACAAAAATCAAACGGACTACATTTTCCATGTCGTCGAAATTAAGGAAATTCTCATATTAACCGAACAATAAGGCGTACTCGATTGAATTGAGAATTGAGGGAGTATGATCATAAATTAAAGCCGTCGATGCTTTAAATGAATATACAAATCCCATGAATACGCTATTGCTCGATGAATACTGACTCTAATCCGTTTTCGGCGATATTCGTCAATAATCAAATCGTACACATTGCATAGTGAACACAACAATAACAAATCGGCACATAAATCAAGGCATGTGTGAGTGGCGTTACGTTACTGCCATTTGATATCTAGATTTCACAGAGTAGTTGTTTGCAGAGTAGTTTACAGCAGGAATATAATACGGGGAGTACAGTTAATTTACTGTACTAAAAATCGTAGTTTTTCTATTATTATACAATAAAGGCAATTATAAAAACGGTTTTAATCTGTATGATCTTTATACATATTTTAAACTACTTGTACCTCAAAAAGTTTATCAAAAAGTATATCTTAAAACCCCGCGCCTATACGAATGCAACGTTGCTTAGAGTAATAGTTGTACCAAGATTTCAAAGCAATCCGTCAAAACATTTTGGATATTTAAGATTTTGAACAAACAAACTTAACTTTTTTCTTTATAGCAATACTATAATTATTGAATAATAAATACATATTGTTGAATAACTTCGTAAAGATAACAAGTGTAACAGTTTCTAACGCATATCGCGGCAGAACTCCCGATCCAATCATCCAGATGGTGTGGACCATCCACACCATCTGGATGATTATGATATGGATGATTGGCGGTCGTCTACTGTGCGATTTAGAAGATGTTTTCTTCCTCGCACAACTTCCTTGGGGAATCGATTACCATTAGCGATTTTTCTGGACCGATACGACTTAGGGACCTTCAAGAAAAGAGCCTACTCCTTTTTAAAAGGCCGGCAACGCATCTGCAATTCCCCTGGTTCCCCTGGTATTGCAGTTGCTCATGGGCTGCGGTAGTCACTTACCATCATGTGAGCCGCATGCTCGTTTGCAGGAGGCAAATAAAAAAAAAAGTTAGTTGTATTGGAGCTTTCGTATTTTTCTTTAATTTTGTTTTTTGGATTTACTTCAGTTTTGTCAAATTCCATCCACATCATCTCAGCTCACCTGATGATGAGTGATTATATACACACATACACACAGCTGTAACACCAGAAGAGTAACAGGGGTGTGTCCGGCCTTTGAGAAAGAAGTTGGTGCAGAGAAATCGCTGGTTATAGTAAATTTCACAATTTTATAAGAATTCCACAGACTATATAGTTTTACATGTCCGCGTATAGCGTACTCAAAATATCACTACTACATTCTATCAGATATTACGACATCTTCCTGGCTTTCCCATATTTTTAACAGTGGTAGAGCCACGCGGCAGCTTTTGCTGTCGCACGGATGGGCCGGCTCGATCCGGGGTGGTACCACGACCTCACAGAATACCAGCGTGAAGTAGAAGTTTAACCTCTGCGTTTCGCTTGGTGAGTGCAGGTGGCCGGAGGCCCTTTTTTACTGGAAATAAGGCATTCCATCTTAGTCCTCAAGGCTGACAACGCATCTGCATTTTGATTCGCAAGCGAGGAGAGATGTAGATGTCTATGGGCCGCAGCAACCACTTACCATCAGGTGGACTGTGTGCTCGTTTGTCACTCTTATCCTATATAAAAAAAAAAAAAAAAAAAAAAAAAAAAAAAAAAAAAAAAAAAGGGCGCGGACCGCGAACTCGAAAGGTCGTGGGTTCGAATCCGCCATTCGACTACTGCCGTGAACCACTTCTAACACAAGCATTTTAAGCTTACCAGAAGTGGTTAAAGGGAATATTAGTAATGTTTAATAGCATTACTAGTATTTAAGAAAAATACTGCTGCCCATCTCTGCGGAACAGATCCATCGCCTGTTACGTACTGAGCGGCATTGCCACAGTGCGGGCCGAGGTGAAATCAAAATAGCACATCTTTTAAAACCGGAAAAAACTCGTTAAAATAGTGTATTTAAAAATTATAAGAAAAGCTAAGGTCATGGGAATGGGAATTAGATTAAATCAAAAGCTGCTTTAAAAATTAAAAAAAAATGAAACAAATAGAATTAAAATAAAATATTACAAATTTCCGCAATATATTTGTATTATTATTTTATTTCAATTTCTTAGTGTACTCTTAGTATAATGATGATTAAAGTTGTTGCAGTGGCTACTATATATTAATATTTTAAATGAGCCTGGGTGTAGAATACAATTATAAGCTTTTAACGCCTTCTAAAAACAGACGGCAAGAAATGTGGTTCTATGGCCGATATTCTATAACTAATATCAAAATATGATTCTAGATCATTACTTTACGAAAATTATGACAATGTGTTGTCTAAGCTCGAAATTGACCCTGAATCCGGCCTATGTATAGATAATATTTACTTTATTGAAGATCTACGCCCTGACAAATTGCTTTTATAATGGTTGTTTGAATAGGATAAGACTTCCGACCGAAGTAGAACAATTAACATTATGGTTTGTTTAGTAAAAGTAATTCTAATATTATACCAAGTCTTTGAAAACAACCAAGCTATTTTTGTTATATTGAATTATTTTTATTAGTTATTTATAAATTTGACCGTATTATTCAACAAATAATCACGTTAAAATACATCGATTTATCAATTTGCGACCAATGTCTCAGATAATCATCTATATTAGAATGTACTCAATTTTCACTGAAGAATCCTGTAATTATGAAAAATGTACCAACAAACTAACCTGATCAGGACTCAAAGAGCTGTCGCCACTAGCATTTCTCTCTTGGTTCTGTGCCGTCCGTTCCTGTTTGCATGCAGTGTGATACTCCAGCCTGGTGCGCTCGACTTTCTGTAGCAGCTTCGACCAGGGCTTCTGCGCTTTCTTGAAAGCCTCATCCATCTCCTTTCGTTCTTTGAGCTGGATCATTGACTGCGAACAATAGATAATTTTATCAGTCATACATTATACAAAAAATAATACTAAACCAATATTTTAAAAACAAAATAATATTTTCAAATAGTCAAAAATTAAAATTTCCGAAGTAAATTTCAAACATTTTCTAGTTTACTGGTACAATTAGACGTTTGATATTGTAGTCATTTATCCGTCTTTCAACTAACTTACTAACTCCGAATAGTTTTCAGAAGTTTAGTGTTACATTGTAGACTTAAGTGAGACTGAAAAATAAAGACATAACGAATTCTATGCGACCTTTTGTTTTGAAATCTAGATAATACAAGCAATAAACAAAGTTACAAAGTAATGCCGACCTCCAACGTTTACTCAATAAGTTCGTGACATGCTTAGGAATAATTCAAACTCATCTTAACAACTAGGGTTTGCTATTGCGACTCTATTTCTCACTTAGATTGAAAATTATAAATATATTGTATATAAATGAAAGATAACCAATCATAGCCTATTCATTTGCATTTTTATCCTCTTCTTCACCAGGCCTTTGATAGTCCACAGATGGCCATGGACCTCCCCGTTTTGTGAGTTGATTAGTTATGGACTGCGTTTTTTACTGGAGTTTTACTAGTACACTGATAGTCCGAAATAAGGCCCTTAGGATTATTCTGGCAAACAAAAATAATATCTCATTTTTATTAGGTTGTACAATTTTTGCGTTTCGACGTTCAATTAAACACCAAATATTACCGAATGCAACCTAACAGATTCATGTTTTTTTTTTATATAGGGTGATGATAAGCAAGCGCATAGTCCACCTGATGGTAAGTGGTTGCTGTGGCCCAAAGACATCTACATCTATCCTCGTTTGCGAATCAAAATGCAGATACGTTGTCAGCCGTGAAGACTTAGATGGAATGCTTCTTTTCCAGTAAAAAGGGTCTCCGGTTTTCTACACTCAACATACGAAACACAGCAGTGTTAAGCTGGAATTTTACGCTGGCATTATGTGAGAGCGTGGTCCCGGTAGCCGGCCCATTCGTGCTACAACTATACTATTAATAAAGCTGCAGCATGGCTCTACCACCAATTCTGTTCCGATTAACAGACGCTATCTTCTTCTTTTTCAACAAACTTGTCCACTGGTGGACGTAGGCCTCTCCAAGAATGTGTCTGCTAGCATGCATTTGAGTGATATCTAGGCTTTGAGGGCGTATTTGCGAATAATGTTGAACAACAAATTTAGTTGAGTTATAGCAAAGGTTAAGCGCTTGGCGTAAATTTCACAGCTGAGCAACCTGGGTCCATTTCCCTTCGGCACCAATGAGATTGTTAATTGCAGTTTTAAGTGCTGATTTACCGTCTACCCGGTGGCGAAGGAAAATCATTGTGAAAAAACTTGCACGGTTGAGGAATAAAAAATATTGAAAAATTTGACCCGTTCCTACCTGTGAGACGAATATACGCTGTAACTTTCGTTTAACTTATCCTATAAGTTTTTGTCTAAATCTTTTAGCTCTAGTGTAAGTATAATATTGTGTGTGCAAACGCGTCCGCCGTCACATGACTTAGCGCGAAATTATGCTTAAGCGAGCAGGTACATGTAATAGGACGGATGCTATCCAACCGTACCCGGCCAATTTTGAATCGTCCGGGGCATTGTCTATGTGAAATGCGACGTGATGTGTTCGGCACAGATTTAATAAAAGATAATATGACTCGTTACTTCATTTTATAGCACATTTGTTCATAATTGTTAAAGACAGGTTAGGTTCATAGTCCTTTAAAATATTGGTTATTTGTTTTTATGCATTCAAGACTTTATAATTTGATATTAGGATATTAATGAGATTGTGTGATGAAGCTTCTATATATAATATGTATAACTAGATTTATCCCGCGACTTTGCTCGCGTGGTCTCTTATTTAGCACTAAACCTACATATTGTAAATTTGAGCCATTTTGATCCATAAATATAGAACTTTAAAAAAATATTAAATAAATAAAATTATTAAAGAACAAAAGGATACTAACACATTAAAATCACCCGTGGAAAAAAAGAGCTCGACTATCGACTTCTTTCATAATTAATGTAACTGGAGAACCTAGCGATACTGATTAGTGATTTAAGTAATTTTAAGAAAATTTGTTTCCATTAAACTTAATTAAATGTTGGAAAAAAAAAAGAATTTTTACTCCACTGTGAATACACCTTTACCCTGTAGTTGCACTGATGACTCACTATTTTCTTAACGCGAACGGACTATAGAATAGAATAGAAAAGGATATTTTTTTTCAATATCGATCATATGTGTATTTCTTATTGAGTCAATTTTTACCTTACCACTGGATCGAATAATCTTTACATATAAAAATTACGTGTCGCATTGTTTGTCCGCGATAAATTCCTAAACTACTGAACTGATTTCAATTAAATTTTGCACACTCTGTGCAGTTTCGTCCAACTTGAGAGATATGATAGTTTTTATCCTGATAAGTGACACTCAATATTTTTTTATTATGAATTTAATGATTTTTATATGAAGGGTCGCCGAAAACGACAGAACAACGTCTGCATGGACTGGCTAGTTTAAAATTAAAAATTTTACCCAGCGGGACTTCTTTTTAAAGTAAATTTTACATGAATGGTTGTACGAAATATTTACAAAATTTATTTTAAAAACAGCGTGGAAGCGAGCACCTCATACCCAGGGGTTGTAATAATCAACCATGTACTCATTATTATAATAACCCTTTTTATACAGTTTTTGTTTAGTAAAATATTTAAACTTGGTAATAGAGAGAGCTTGTATATTTTCTGAGACTTTGTTGTAATAGCGTATACATTGCCTCAAGAATGAATTACTGACTTCTGTGGAGTCGAGAAAGCGGTGGTTACAGAGTGTATATAACTTTTTTTTTAACTAAAACCACCTTTATTTTTGTAAACATTTATTAAATTTTCGTAAATATACTGAGAGGCCAAAATTAATATATTTATTTCTTTAAATATCCCTTTATGATGAGACTCTCGGGTTTAGGTTGTAAATAGCTCTAATGGCTCTCTTCTGTAAAACAAAAATAGTTTCTAAATCAGCCGCATTTCCCCATACCATAATTCCAAGACATTATGCTATGGAAATAACTGAAAAAAACTAATCTAGCTGTCTTGACACTAGTAAGACCTCTAATCTATTTTAGCAGCAGCAGCAGAACTTAGTCTGTTAGTTTGGATATATGGACCACCCCACTGAAGCTTTGCGTCGAGAGTAATGCCAAGAAAAACAGTGAATTCAATAGGGCTCAGTTTTTCGAAGTTGTAAATTTAATACATTAGTTTTATTGCCGTTTAAATGACGTTTATTTCCGTGTAAAAACTTCTTAGTATATTATGACCTTCATTCTTAATAAAGCCAAGGAAATTACATGGATCTATTTATAATCAATAGGTAATTCGTCATAAGAGCTGCGAAAATAAAGTCGTGAATTCTAAATCCGCTATTCGACTTTTGTCGTAAACTATCGTAACAAGCGATTTGAGCTTTTAGCGGTTAACTGCTAGATTTAAAAAAAAATCAAGAACTACCATGACACCATGATTTGATTGGATTACCATGATAATTCACATTGTATTATAGACAGTTATAATAATAAAGGAAAGCATATTTAACAAAGATTTAAGTGTACTTTATATTTTCTGTGAAAACTTGTTTAGAATCGTTGTCATTTGAAAATCGATAAAACAAAAAACCGACACTAAAAAGAGACAAAATATATATACATCTATAGGATTTATTAGCCTGCGATAATATACAGTACACTATACAGTGTTTTCTTAGTCTCGGTCTCTTCTTTGTGCGGTGATTTAGAGATGGTTAATATAACTTTTAACTGTTAAATAATATATTTAATTTTGTTTAATAGGATAAGGGTGAAAAACGAGTACACAGTCCACCTGATGGTAAGTGGTTGCTGTGGCCCAGAGACATCTACATCCATCCTCGATTAAGAATCAAAATACAAATGTGTTGTCACACGTGAGAAATAAGATGGAATACCTCGTTTCCAGTTCAGTTCCAAAAGGGTCTCCGGTTCTCTACACTCACCATACGAAACACAGCAGCGTTAAGCTGCTATTTTACGCTGTTATTCTTTGAGAGTGTGATCCTTACGACCGGGTACAACTATACCAGTAATATAGGTAAAGAAAACACGTAAAGAAAAAAAGTATAAAATAAAATAATTTATTAAATAAATAAAATTATCATATTCAATCTATTAATAACAATCTACAATTGCATGACTTCAGGCTATCTAACGTCTATTTTACGTATACCACCTTAGGAGTCAATAATTTCTTTGGTCGATAAAATGACTTTACCTATAGAATAAAATAGATGGCGCTATTACAAAGCAATTTTTCACTGAAGTTTTTACTTCTACCGTGTGTGAACTGCACACCCTTCGATTTTCTAGTTGTTATTAGGAAAACGCTGCTGCCCATCCTGGTTTCTTTACCTTTATCGACTTTTACGACACTTACGCGACAATATGGCGTAGTGAATATTCTTACACCGCCGCTACACGGTATCACCTCACCGGTACCAGATTATATATGATGATGCAGCCGAAGATAGTAAATCGTGTTGAATTTGTAACTGTATAAGAAGACAGGTGCTGGCAACTCATTACACTCATTTACTGTACGTATGACGAACGATCGTTCTAATGCGTGGTAAGTCTTATACGAGGGGATTGACACTGATCGAGTCTGGTTGTCCGATGGTGGGAGGGAAAGGGAGGAATTAAGTTATTTAATTCCTGCGCACACTATTTGAAATGGCTTTATCCAGATTTGGGTCACCAATAAGCCTCTTAGTACGTCTTTCTATTGAGTCCAAGGCTGCTAGGTGGCATTTTGCATTACCAGCCAATATACCACCTCGGCTCTCACATAATCAATAATTGTTACTGTACGTAATATTTCTACCCTGTTATAATATCCTTGTTTTGATATT